AAGATCTTCCATTCACTGATTGGCCGCAACGGCCAGAGCTGAGCCAATCTGAAGCCAGGAACCAGGAGCCAGGAGCTTCCTCCAGGTCTCCCACGCAGGTGCAGGGTCCCAAGGCCTTGGGCCATCCTCTACTGCTTTTCCAGGCTACAAGCATGGAGCTGGATGGGAAGCAGGGCCACCAGGATTAGAACCAGCGTCCATATGGGATATCAGCAAGACATGGATTTTAGTCACTAGGCTACTGCGCCAGACCCTGTTTGTTCTTTTCATGCACAAGTGGGGCTATGTCAATGGGACAGCACAACAGCTCAGGTCCAGAAGCAGGAGAAACAGTAATTTGCGATGATGAAGGGTTTTAGGAGCCAAGGCATGGCCTGGCCCCTGGCAGCCTCAGCAGAGATTTTGGGGGCTGAGCTGCCACCCTGGCCTCACAGCAAAGCACCCCCTTCGGCTCACCCCATGAGCCTGCGGTGTCAGGAGCTGAGGCAGAACTTCGGCTCCCAGTGCAGTACCAGAAAAGGCCTGCTAAAACACAAGACCCTAAATGTCGGGCCTGGAGTTGTGCCCTAGCAGATTAAGCCACTACCTGTGACACTAGCATCCCAAATGAGCACCAGTTCAAATCCTGGCTGTGGGCCTGATGCGGTGGCCTAGTGGCTAAAGTCCTCACCTTGAACGCGCCAGGATCCCATATGGGTTCCGGTTCTACTCCCGGCAGCCCCTCTTCCCATCCAGCTCCCTGCTTGTGGCCTGGGAAAGCAGTCGAGGATGGTCCAAAGACTTGGGACCCTGCACCTGTGTGGGAGATCTGGAGGAAGCTCCTGGTTCCTGGCTTTGATTGGTGCAGCACCGACCATTGCAGTCTTTTGGGGAGTGATTCCAGCCCCGCCTCCTCTGCCATTTAGGGGTCCTTCCAGCACTGCACTTGCTCTCTGTGCAAACTGTCCCTGTCAACTGTCCTCCCTCACCCCCAGTGGAAAGGCTTGGCAGAAGTACTGTGTCTTATCCCAGGTGCCTGGCCCAATTCCTGGCTTGTGGTAATCATGCAAAATAATATTTATTGAATAAATGAATACATTAATGAGCAACTGGAAACTCTTTGGTGGCCCCCCCTTTTATGCACTGTGGTCTAGATTAACCCCTACACACACAGGGGTATGCTGAGCTTCCTGTAAGTCCCACCGGAGGCACCCCACTTCTCTGTCCTGGGATTTGCACTGTCCTTTGATGGTGCCCTGTCTCATACCACATTTGCACCTGTGTTAACTGCAAGTGGCCTCAGCCACTAAGGTCTGACCATCTTCCCAGAGACCCTCAGATACCATCTGTCCATGGCCCCAGTAGGATCTCACCCACTGGAAGAAGAAGTCCTGCCCACCTCTGCACCCACAGTTCTTCATTTCATCTTATGTTGCTGATCAAGTGCCTTTTTATTGGTGTTATTTGTCTACTTGAAGGTACATATTATATTCTTTTAAAAATTATTATTTATTTTCATTTTGTTTGCAAGGCAGAGAGACAGATGAAGAAACCTGCCATATTCCGGTTTACTTCCCAAACACCCTTAAGAGTTAGGGCTGGATTAGGACGAAGCCAGGAGTCCAGAGCCTGGGTCCTCCGTGTCAGGGGTGGGGACCCAAGCACTTGACCCTTCACCTGCTGCCTGCTGGGTATGCCTCAGCAGAGCTGCGCTCAAGGCAGAGGAGCCAGGACTGGGACCAGAGTCCTTGATTTGGGTTGCAGGCATCCCAAGCAATAACTTAACTATGTACCAACTCCTGGCATTTGTTCCAAGAGTTTTAAATCTGTGGGTTCAGATAAATCCGCCTCTTACTCATCTTTGCCTCCAGCGTCTCACAGGGCTGTTACTCTGTTACTGAGATCACAGTACCCATCTCCTAGGATTTCTGTGACTACTAAGAGAAATACACCATTTAAAAACTGGTACAGTGTCTTCATCTACATATAGTAACTTCTTTTTTTCTTTTTAAAGATTTACTTTTTTTATTGGAAAGTCAGATATACAGAGAGGAGGAGAGACAGAGAAGATCCTCTGTCCCATGGTTCATTCCCCAAGCGGCCGCAACAGCTGGAGCTGAGCCAGTCCGAAGCCAGGAACCAGGAGCAGGATCCCAAGGCCTCAGCCTGTCCTCAACTGCTTTCTCAGACTACAAGCAGGGAGGTGGATAGAAAACGGGGTCGCGAGAACCAGAACCGGCGCCCATATGGGATCCCGGTACGTGCAAGGCGAGACCTTTAACCACTACACTATCGCGCTGGGCCCCATGTGGTAACTTCTTGAGAAGTGTTAGCTATGGTCAATACTGTTGAGGAAACCAATGAATGGAGCAAATCCTATTAGCTCTGTTGAAAACACCTGTTGAGTTCTGCCACCTCTCCCTCTTTTTGTATCAGCGCCTTCTGCCAGATGCGTGTTACTCCAGATAGGATGCCTAGCTGGCCTCCCTCCTTCCACTCCCTGGTCCCTCAGTTTCTTTTCAGAAACCAACAGGATCTTTTTAAAATGTAAATCAGAACCTAATACTTCTCTACTCCAAACCCCCTTGGCTTCCCAATCCACCACTACAGGCCCAATATGCTCTGTTCTGCTGTCAGTCTTTCCTACCTAGATAGTCTCCAGGGCTGCCTTGCCCTCCTGTTACACAGGGCTTCGTGCCTGTGCTGGGCTTTGCACTTGTTATTATCACTGAGCGATCTCTCAGCCTGGTAGGGAGCTGCTTCCTCATTTCATTCAGATACACCTGTGCTGATGCCGCTGCAGGGGTCACCACCACATGGAAACACCCACCATTAGTCTCAATCTGTATTAGCTCTCCTGTCAGTTCCCCTTTCTATGCTTTCAGTTACTTCTCAACTAAGCCAAAAATATCGAATGGAAAATTCCAGAAATAAGCAGTTGGTAAGTTTTAAATGGCACGGCATTCTGAATAGCTGCACCATCTTACTCCGTCCATCCAGGGACATGAATCATCTCTACCCCTGCATCCACGCGGCATGTGCTGCCCGGCTGCTGCTAACCATCTCAGTTAACAAGTTGACTGAGGTGGTACCAGTGTTTTCTGTAGGGTTTGGTGCTATCCACAGCTGCAGGCACCCAATGAGGGTCTTGGAATGTACACGGTGTGGATAGAAGTGGGGTAGTGTATTTTATACTCAATGACTTGTCTACTGATGGGATTGTTTATCATCGTTCCCTGGTAGAATTGTCAACTCCGGGAGTACTTGTGGTATCCCCAGCCCCGCTGGCAGACAGCAAGTGCTCATCCCAACTTGATGAAAGACATGGTGTCTGGGGACTGTGGATGGGAATTGGAGCAACAGTAGCATCCTAGTGCACAAAATTGCTCATTTCTTCTGTGTTTGTGTGAAGGGACAACGTGGATTGTCACACCTGGAGGGGTTGGGATGGGAGTGGACTTGGGAGGGAACTCCTGCTTGTGCAGAAACCTGGCAGGAGAGGGTTAGAGATGTGCTCCCCCTAATGCACACCAGTGAATCCTGGGTCTGTATGCAGAACATGCAGATTAAAAACCTTTTGGGTGTGAAAATATACCTGTGACCTGATTCTGTTGTTTCATGAACTTTCCAAAGGACCTTCACACCTCAAGTTCAACTCCCTTACAACGTAGAATACATATCCTCCATGAACTGCCTGGAGATCTTGCAGATGCATGGATTTCAGTTTGGGGAGGCAGGCAACAAGCTGAATATACTTTTTATTTCCATTTTCCATGAAGTCTTTGAAGTGCCCTGTTATGCTGTCTTCCAGCTGCAACTCTCAAGTTAGAGATTTGTGTGTGGAGCGTGTTCAAGGAGAGTGGGTGTGTGCTGTGTGTAGCAGTGTAGAAAAGCCAAGGTGGAGGCAGTTGCATTGCAGGAGCTCAGCAAGGCCAGCAGGTGGAGCCATTGCTGCACCAGGATGCCTAGGCCAAAGGTGGGAACTCCGGGATTTTATGTAAAGCAGGCAAGTCTGGGGTGTGCTGTTGGCCACCTTGCAGTCACCTCACCCCTACTCCCAGCACATACACATTTCTTGCTTCCAAAGCTCTGTGCTCCAACACTCTGACAGGAGTTAACCAGGTTACCAGGCTTGAGGTTGCTGGTGGGTGAAGATCCCATGGTTGTCTGTCTCCCAGGTCTGTGCTATGTACCTGGTCCTTCTGACTTCCCTAACTGGGCCGGACCCTCATGTATCACTCTTAATGAAAGCCAAGCACTTTTCTGATTGCCACCCATCCTTTCTCCAACCCTAACCCATTCTGGGCCTTCTGAGTCACTGGGGAGGAACCTCTGGTCACAGAAGTTGGAGGAGAGCAGGAGAGAAGGGGGTTGGGATTGCTGATGGGAAAAGCCTGGCTTTGGAGAGATAAGAATGGAAAAGCCAACCTTTGTTTGGTGGTCATGCCCTTGTTGACACACTTGGGAGTGTTTCCTGAGCGACCCCCACTTCCCAGGGCCTAGGGTGGGGGCGGGGGAGCGCCTGGGGGGCTGTGGAGTGTTTGCAGATTTCCTTTGGCAGATGGCTGTTGTCCTAACTTGGAGGGTACAAACCGGCCCTTCGCCAGGGGTTGGCAACCACGTGTCCTGTGGCTGTTTAGGTGAGTTTGAGGTCAGCAGGTATCTACAACACTGCCTGTGCCCTTTGGTGTGCTTCTTCTGCACTGAGGAAGCAGCCTGTCCACCACCTCCAATGGTGTGCATGAAGCGTGTGGCTGAGAGATGTGTAGCATATCACCTTCTAGTCTGAAGGGCACTGCTGTGCCCAACCCAGCTTTCCTTTCTACCAGCCTGAGTGCATCCTCGCATGGCACCTTGGCCACAGGCCCTTAGCATCCTGCTTGGTGCCTGTGCCCACTAACACAGGTCAACCTCCCCCCAGCACAGCCTTTCCACACCCTGTCATTGCAGCTGGGTCTCCCAGGGAGGCCTCTGGGACAGAGCTGCACAGCACATGTTCCAGTATCACTTTAATTACAGTATTTACACACACTGGTTTTTATTCAGAAAAAGAAAAATCCACCCAATCCTCTCATTTCTGGAAAGCTCTATTTCCAGCCGTCAGTGAAACGAGGATCCCTATTCGCCCCTCTGGGAAGAGAACAAGGACAGCAACACAGGGAACTGGGCCACCGGGTGTGGGAAGGGCCCAAGGGGGTGTCCTGGGGCTCTGACCACACAGGAGTCTGCAGGGGGCAGAGACACCGAGGGATCTGCTGGGGGACTGAAGTCACAGCCCAACCCAGGAGTCAGGGCGAGCAGGGGAGGCCCTGGAGATGAGAGGGTAGGGATTCCCTGGAAAAGCCAGGTAAGGAAGCTGGGTTCTACAGCCTTGTCCATGTGGACCTAAGAGCCAAAGGAACCAAGGAGAGTGGAGTCCCCAGAGAGACCAGGGTTGAGTTGCTTATTCGAGAACTGGGAGCCCCTTTCTGCCTGTAGCCAAGAGACAGCACAGGCCTCAGAACACAGACGAAGGCACACACGGGGCTTCCATGGAGGGACCTGGAGGAGGTGACTGACCCACAGTGCCTTGGGAGAAAGCTAAGGCAAGTGGTTTAAGACCACATGTTTCTCTGGTTATCCCATGACAAGAGAGCAGGTACAAAGGGTTAACCATGGTTTCCTTGGAGAAGAGAAACTAGGAGAAAGAAACAGTAAAAACCTAGGCCTCCTGGGAGGCAGTTAATAACCTAGGAAAGCCTGCCTTCTGCCCTGGGCATTCCTGTAAAGAGGCAGAAGAGGAATGGGGGGGTCCAGGTGGAACACCCCAAAGCCAATGAGTCTCCCCTACAGCTCCTGTGAACTGTGGCTCTTCCCATCACACTCTGACCAACAGAAGGCCAAGGCCACCATGCAGAGGGCAGGGAAGGGGGTTGACCTGCCTTTCCCCAGGTGGGGGACCCAGGATGGTCTGTGGGATGTGTGGGGTGGGAAGGGGAAGGATGTAAGGTCAGGACTGGGTTGGGGGGAGGTCACCTCTTGCACAGAGGCAGGCCCTGCCCAGCCTGGCCCCACCCAGACGCATCACAATTCGGTGTCAGCCACCACGTGTTGTCTTGTTGAATGGCCGTTTCTGGAGGTGGCCTGGCCGGTGCCGTTCTCCTGGGCCCCTTGGTTCACACTGGCCTTTCCCTGAGACTCAGGGGCAGCCCCAGGTCCTGAGCTATAGCCCTGGCCTCCACCGTTCTCCGTGTAATAAGGGTCTTCGCCCTAGACGGTGTATAAATAAAGGAGCATTATCTGGTAAGCAGGGGTGTAAGGCACCGTGAGGGGGAGCATTGGGGAAGGGCAGGGAAGGGATACAGCTGCCACGTGCAGGCTCCTTTCTTCCTGAAGAACGGTCAGGGTTCCAGCTCCTAGGGGAGAAAGGACAGAGGACAGGCACTACGTGCCACCACAGGTACAGTGGCCAGCTCCCACAAGAGAATGGGAAGTCCCAAGGGAGGACGAACCACCTGAGAGCCAAGAATCAAACTTCACCCTTGTCTGCCCTTGCCCAGACACAACTAAGGTAGACCTCCCTTGCATCTGTCCCCTTCTTGGGAGCTAAGCAACACTCACTGGGCACTGAATATGCTTGCAAATAGATGTGGCTGACCGAGCAGCCTGTGCTGATTGTACCTAGCCCAACTATCCCAGGAAACAATGAAGAGATGGCATGCATTATCTATTTCTTCAAGTGATGATGGCCACAGGTACCATGTGGGCACTTGAGCCTACACCCAGGGATAACAGGTACAGAAGGGCCTTTTCTTCTACTGTTTCCCTGATGTCCCCAGACTGGCCCAGAAACCCACCACCTTCCACATTTCCAGGGCCCCAACCCTAGAACTGACCAGCCTTTCTCCAGTGGGGCTCCAGCTGCGACGGTTCATCAGGAAATATCCAGTAGTGCCCAGGACAGCCAGGAGGACCCCCGAGGTGACCAGGGCAATCAGGGTCTTTCGGGAGTAGCTCTGGTGACTCGCCACGTCTTGTTCAGTGAAATTCTGGATCCCCAGCTTGCAGAGAAGACACAGGAAAGGCCACAGTCATGTGTGGAAAGTGAGGCCACCCTAGACCCCTGGTGTGTGACTCCCAAGTAGGACCTCTCCTGAGGGACTTTTGAGACAAGATTTTGGACTGGCAACTCTTGAAAATGCTATAACTCTTTGGTTCATGCATAGAAAGGTGGAAACTTTCCAAGGAAAAGATGCAGAAGTAAAGAGAGCAGGGCTGAAGAAGGCAATTGGTTCCTCCCCTGTGCCATTGGTACGTGCTGAAACACATCATCTCAGGGAACTTACCTTTTTCAGGTCAGATTGGTGCGTTTTCATAAATTGGAGCATGCTGGAAAGTTCTAGAATTGAAAATAGAGACTGCTAAATCTTAAAGCCAGACATTCTGGTGCACCTTCTTCCCACACTGTTCTGGAAGGTGCCAGAATGGCTAGAGTATTATAACTCAGGGAGGACCATTCCCAAACTCAGCCACTCCTTTGTCCCTAGCTCCTGCATCTCTGGAATGATCATGTCTGATTTCTACCTTCCCATCTTATTTAAAGCAAAACAAAACAAAATTTATTTCTTATTATTGGAAAGTTAGATTTACAGAGAGGAGAGACAGAGAGAAAGATCTTCTGTCTGCTGGTTCACTCCCCAAGTGGTCACTATAGTCAGAAAAGTGCCAGTCCAAGCCAGGAGCCAAAGTCTCCTACACATCTCCCAACGCAGGTGCAGGGTCCCAAAGTTTTGGGCCATCCTCTACTGTTTTCCCAGGCCTCAAGCAGGGAGCTGAATGGGAAGTGGAGTAGCTGGAGCATGAACTGGCACCAATATGAGATCCCAGCATATGCAAGGCAAGGACTTTAACTACTAGGCTACTGCACTCAAACTTCCACATTCCCCATCTTTTAACCTCTGCTCTGCCCTCCCTGACCCCCAGACGTGCCCCTTACCTGTGCTGTTGGCCAAGACCAGAAGCAGGCACTGTGACCTAATCTCAGACTGGGCGAGGAGCAGGGAACACACCCTGGCCCCAGCCTCAAGGTCAGCCTGTTCCTTCTCACACAGTACTTGGGTCAATTCCTCTCCTTTGTCCTTCTTAAACTCCTCCTGAGAAAACAGAGAGCAGGCGATGAAATCATGAGTATATCATAAGTGTTAGGCAATACTAAGCCTATTACCCCTTCCTCCAGAAGGTCTCTCCTTCCTAGAATTCAAATTGGGAAAAAAATTGTCTGTGTACAGTAACACAATAAGCAAAAATCCCAAATAGGTCCCAACAGCAAAATAGACCATCTGTAAGTATCTAAGAACAACTCAGGTAACATCATCATACTGAAGGGTTGCCCAGCTACGCAGATGTTATTCAAATTTAATTCAAGGAAATTGCCAACCACAGAAGACATAAATACTGCAATACTGGGGGGGGGGGAAGAACAGCATTTATGTCAAGGTTACAACAGTCCCCAATAATGGAAGAAAAGCTAATAAGAAAGGCAAGAATCTGTGACTGTATACCCAAGGGGTCCTCAGGGACGTACCCCTTCTCATATTTCATGAGGTGTCACAAAGAGCATTGCTCCAACTGCTAGTCTCCCATCACCCTTGGCCATTGAGAGCAGAGAGGTCCACAGGTGGATCTCCAGCTGCTGAGGAATCCTCTGCACTCCAGGACACAGACTCAGAAGACAAATGCTGATGGGTCTTTGCTGGAGAAGACCCCAGAAAAGGAATGCCTTGGGTGCACATTCTGTGCCTTTCCAAACACTTGTCTCCCACTTCCCAATGTTTATTCCACCAGCTTCCAATCAGAGCAACCTCCTCTGCACAGGAAAAGAACTGAAACCAAGACTTTCTCCCTTGTTCGGAGGGCAGAAGGCAGAGGAGGAAATGCCTGAACAGCTCCGACAGCTTTCCTGTTGAGGGAAAAATGCTGGGGTGTGTGACAGGCATCAGACCTGAGCCTCAGAGCAGGAGAACGCTTCCTGTTTGCGGGCAGGCCTGTGGCAAGGCCAGAGGGTCCTCCCAGCTGGATTGGAGCCTGGGTATTTTCCTACAGCTGGGACCCAAGGCAGGAAAATGCAGGCTCCTTGCCTCCTGCACAGGGCGAGGTCAACACTGGCCTCAGGCCCCAGTGGAATTGGAGGGAAAACAACCGGGTTTGGCCAAGGCCAGAGCAGCATGAGCAGCCAAGCTGCAGGTCACTGAGCCACAGGACCCACGATAGCCTCGGGCCTCCCCTGTGCTCGATGAAGGCACAAGGCCTGCTTCTGCGGGTGTCGTAGGAATTCCTAAGAGAGCCTCCCACTGCTTGCGCCTCAGAGTGCCATGTTCTCCCTAGCCTTCTGAAGAAAGGGAAGGGATGAGGGATGACTCTCGTTTTCAGAGGTGGCCCTAGCTCAAACACACCTGCTCTCTGACAGAGGCAGAGGGACACAGCTCCTGCAGGACCTAACCCAGCTGTGCCAAATGGCACCTTCCTGCACCTGCTCAGTGCCAAGAGGCCACACCTTCACCACATTAGTCGTCTGGGCATTGAGGAGGTCTTGCCCATGAGACACCATGTGAGAACCTCTATGCCCGGGTTGGGTGTGTGTGTGATGGCAGTTAGGAAGGCAACACTGAGTGCCAGCACTCTCTACCTGCATGGGTAACAATGAAAACAGTGTTGACCATGACTTGGGTGCTGTTCTACGTGAGTTGCACACATTGGCCTCTGAAACAGGTGCCAGTATACTTTCCTCATTTTGTAGACAAGGCAGTTGAGGAACAAACAACAACAACAAAAACAAAAAAACACAACAACAACAAAAAATGGAAGTGGTTACTGAGCTATTTGGTAAACACAATACAAAATGCACTGCACAGGTGCCACAGCCACGCAGAGAACAAAGCCACAGCCACCTGGGATGAACATAAACACCTGAAAGTTGGCCTTGAAGGACATGGCATATGTGCAGGAGAAACAGGTGGGGCATCCAGTACATGACAGCATGGACCGCCTGGCCGCCTGTTCCAAAGGGATGGGGATGCCACTGCCTTGGTCATGCTGGTCCTGTTTTCAGCCACACTGAGCCTCACTCCTTGCTCCACTGTTAACCAGATTCTCTGTAAGTTAGGCAGCTAGTTGAAGCATTGGATTCCTTAGCTGTGCACACTGGGTTGCTGTGGTGATAAAGGCAAATGCTACAAAACATGTCCAATATGGTATTGGGAACCTAGTGGGCACTAGATAAATGACGGCCATTACTATTATTGACAGCAATAGCAATGTCTAATATACTATGTCATCTGGAATCTAAGTTTTGATCCTATTCAGTCTTAACTGTTATTGTCATTTCTCTCTTGTTAGACTGGAATATTCTCAAGTGTGTAGGGTATGGAGGCAGACGGAGGCGGACATTATATAATTTCAAATTCAGACTGTGCTAATCATAGCACCAAATAAACAAAAGGACTCAGGGGACTGTTGTTCAACTTAGTCTCCCCAAGGACTGGCCTTCAAATAGGGCTCCTTCAGCCCTTGCTTTGTTTCTTGGACTAAATTCAAGGCAACAGCAGCGGCCAGCCTCCCACTCTGCAGCCCAAGAGCCCCAGTGAATTGTGTTTGGGCCCAGAGAAGAGCAGGTGGATCCTGAACAAAGCACAATGCTTCTCCGGATGCTGAGAATAAACATCCTCCCCCAAGAGAGGCTGTGGGCAAGTACCCTGGGAGAGTGGGCAGGAGGAAGCCGCAGCCTCTCCACACTGCTCCACAGAGCCCAATGCACCGGTCCCTAACCGCAACCGTTCACACGTGTTACTTTGCAAAAATAATAAAACCATCTGACCTTTCTAGCATGATACCCTCAAACTTCCCCCAATTCTTAACATGTCAAAGAAGCACAGGGAGACCTGGGCTGGGGAAGGAAGGGGGCATTTGGAAAAATGCCCCCTTCAAGCTGAATCCAGGCCCCACCCCCACCCCAATCCTTTTAAAAAATCATATCTTGCTTGGTGTGCATGTGAAAACCCTTGTTTCTCCAAGGGACTGAAGGTGACACACAGCACATCTGATCTAGCTCCCTGTTAATACTACTGGGAAGACAGCAGAAGGTGGCCTAAGGACTTGGGTCCTTGCACCCGCAGGAGAGACCTCCGGGCTTGGACCTGGCCCAGCCTCTGCCAATGTGCCCGTTTGGGTAGTGAATCAGCAGATGGAAGATCTTTCTCCCCCTTGCTATAACTCTGCCTTTCAGTCAGTAACTAATATGTATGTATATATATATATAGCTCTACATACGCAAATGGCCTTTAAGCAGAGAAAAGTACTCTCAGATGACTCATTAGGGAAATGTAGACAAACTGCAGAGTACAACCTCACACCCATGAAGTGAAATTGCATTGAAAAACCAGGAAACAAATGGACAAGTGTATTGGTAAATTGGAATCCCTGTGTACTGCTGGTGGGAATGTAAAATAGTACAGTCACTATGCAAAGAAGTACCATGGTTTTCCCCCAGGTTCTAAAATAAAATCACCATATATGACCCAGGATTTTCACATCTAAATGTATTCAAAAGAATCAAAGTCAGGGTATCTGAGAGACAGTTGACACTTAACATTCGGAGCAGCAGTATCGGTAAGAGTCTACCAGTGGAGAAACAGAATGACACATATGAATGGATCTGTAATGGAATATCACTCAGGCCTATAAGCAAGGAGATTTGGGCACGTACTATAACATAGATGATCCTTGAAGATATTGCACTGGGTGAAGTGATTCTACTCACAGGAAGTGGTTGGAGTATCCAAAAGCACAATCCTGATTGTTAGGGTGCGAGGAAGTGGGGAACTAGGATTTATTTTAACAGCTGCAGACTTCCAGTTTTGGAAGACACAGGGTTCAGATTAGTCACCCAGCAATATAAATGTGTGCAGCTTTACTAACTGTATACCTAGTTACGCTCAGTTGGGGTGGTCGGTTTTATATTGTTGTGTGTTTTACCACAACTGAACAATATTTTGGTGGATTTCCCTGGGCAGATGAGTGTAGCACAAGAAAATACTCTCATGTGTTTGGAAGTATCTGCGGAAACTAAAAACTAAATCAGCAGCAGAGAGCGAAAGTAGAAGCAGGGAAACACACTCTGTGAATGAGTGCAGAGATGCGACTGCAGGTGCCTAAGAAGTCCTGATGGTGTCTTTCACGCCCTGGCTTTGAGTGCTGGAGAACAGAAGCAGAGTGACTGGGATGGAAATGTTTGCTGGATGAACATAAAGGAAACAGAACTGAATAATCCCACAGGGAAAGCCAGCATGTTGGTACTCTCATGGCTGGCTAGATGAACATATTCCTGTGAGGGGCATACACTAGATGTCAGGGTGCCCTGACAATATGTAAGAATCAAGGATGGGACACGGGGAGCAGCCAGATCCACCGTGTTGTAATCACCAGATCACCGAGCAGGCTGTGAGAAGGACCCGAGTCTCTCTGCATCAGAACCAATACCATAAGGCCCTCTGACACCAATAGCACAAAAACGATCTAAGAAACAGCAGGGGCGAGGGCAGTGATATAGCAAACCAATTCTCCATATGCAAAGCTGACATTCTACAGTTCCCAGCTGCTCCGCTTCCCATCCAGCTCCCTACTTATGCCCCAGGAAAGTACTGAGGACGGCTCAAGTGCTTAGGAGTATCCACCCATGGGGCAGACCTGGGAAGAAGCTCCTTGTTCCCACCTTTGGAGCAGCTCATCTCCAGCCATTGCAGCCATCTGGGGAGTGAACCAGCAGATGGAGGATCTCTTTCTCTGTCGATCCTCCTCTCTAACTCTTTCTTTCCAATGAAAGTAAGTTGAAAGGAAAAAGGAAAAGAAGGAAGACTAGGGTCTGCAGCCCTTACAGCCACTGGAGATCAACTGCAGAGTAGAACTCAAGGGAAGAACTGAGTACAAATTATGGAACAGGGATTTCTGGCTGCAGGGAGACTATCTTGCAGAACAGTAGGAGACACTGCTGCTTGGGGTCTGGAAAAGAGAAGCTCTGGGGAAGAAAGAGCATGACTGTGGTGAAGAGACCAGGGGAAGAGAAGAAAACACGGGGGTAATACAAGCAACCCAGGGGCACTGTACTCTTCCCCAAGTCTGTGCACTGATTCGCCCCAGTCTCAGAGCAAGAACGGAGACCTGAGCTGCAGCACAAAGCAAGTTAGGCAGCTGGCTCTTCGGGGATGAGGTCACACAGAGCAGGACCACCCAGTCCCGCAGCAGCCCTGGGATCCTGGCACCCTGGACATGGACCCCTGGTAATGGGGAACCCAGAAGAGCAACACACACTCCAGATAATGCTCTACAGCTAGCACTGAGTTCCAAAAAGAATTAGCATTTTGGCACAGACCTGTGTGATACACAATAAATGCTCGGCCAAGATAATAAAAGGGAGGGGAGGGGGAAGACGGCCCCCTGCATTTCCTGAAATGAACCAGGGAGGTCTGCTCGCATCATTACAATTTAACAACTTGCTATAAACATTCTTATCCATGGGGGGAAGACAATGGGCATGGCTGCTACAAATAGCCCAAAAGCAGAGGTAAGGAGGACATCCCATGGAAACGTACCTTAAAAAAAGGGAAAAAGAGAGAGAGAGAGAAAGAACCAATAAGTTTCTGGAATAAATCAGCAGGTTCAAGAATGTGGCCCAACCCAAGACAGTTGTTTAAAACTGCCTTAACTTTCTGATATATTGGCAACAATCAACTATATAATGAAAATTTGTTGCAGATAATCTTACAAATCAGTAAAGCTGTGAAACAAAAAAAAAAAACCTTTTTAAATAAAGGATGATGAGAGGTACAAAAGAAGATGAGTAAATATTGAGCAATTTTAGAGTGCTTCCAATTAAAATGTTAATGGCATTTGTTTTGGATCCTGACAGACATCTCTAAAGATTTTCTGAAAGAAGAGATGAACAAAACTACACAGTAATGAGTAAAGATATGCCTGGCTAGATATTAAAAACACAATACTGTAAAAGTACATTAAAATATTAAAACAGGTGAAAGAAACAAATAAATCTGAAGAATAAGCCTCAGGATATGTAAAAACTTAACATAAAGTAACAAATATTCAATCAATATTAAGGAAAATATTCAATCAATGTTAAGGAAAATATTCAATCAATGTTAAGGAAAATAGTTACATGAAAAATACAGCATTTGGCAAAAAAAAAAAAAACCCACATTTCATATGGATTAAGCATTACCTGCAGATAATGAACAACGAACCAATCTTTGAGGTGATTAGTTTATATCTGGGTCATGAGAAAGATTGTCTTAAAACACAAACCCAACTGACAACCACATCAAGTAACAAAACTTAAGCCAGATTACTTTTGCCTCTTTTGCCCACCAGATGGGGCTTCTCACTCCCTAAACTCCAAGCTCAGAACGAGCAGCAGCCCGAATCCCCCAGCCAAAGGCATGCCATCTTGCCAGGCTGAAGGCTATTCCCAAGGGGTTGTGGGAGAGGGGGTCAACTTACACAGCTGGAGGTCTCATTGAGCTCCAGGCAGATGGCTTGAGTCAGTCTTACTTCTCTGATTCCAGAACACCTGATTTCTCCCTGTGTAACAACAAAAACAAAACAAGCTAAATCAGCCAAAATCTGTGCCCTTCATTTTCCCCTCATCCCTTTCCAGTTTGATTTCCATGAGGGACTCTAGGAGTTTCAGGAAAAAGGAAATTTAAAATGTTTGTGTTGAAGGGTGGGGAGGACTAGCGATTTGTCACACAGCCTAAATGTTCCCAATCTGAAAATCTGAAATCTAAATTGCTACCAAAAAAAAAAAATCTCTGAATCCCTATCTAACACCACAAATGGAGACACCATGAAGTTTTGTTTTGTACATAACATTATTAAGAACATTGTACAAAATCATCTCCAGGCTAGGTATATATGGTATATTATTCAGCATAAATGCATTTTCTGTTGAGATTTGGGTCTCATTCCCAAGATAACTCATTATGTATATGAAAATATGTCAAAGTCCCCTGCCCCTATTTTAGATGGATGAGGAGGCGCTCCCTCCTGTGATTATTCTGTCCCTGCTCTTCCATCTCTTGTCCCCATTAGGCCATCAGGCCTTCCTTCCTTACTTGCTAGCCAGGGCTTGCAGCAAATAGCTACTTGCAACCTTGGTAAACACTGGCTTGGAATGTGCAGAAAAGAGAGGGCAGACTCTTTTCTCATGGGCTGCTCTCCCCCAGTCAAGTACACACTTGTTTTGTTGGAAGGTCATATGGCAGATAGACGATGGGGTTGTCAGGCAGGTCCTGATGACTCCCGTTTTCCTCTTGGCCCCTATGATGCTCCAGACCCCTATATCTGGCTGCTGTGAAAACTGAAACTAAGCACGTACCTCGTGCCTTTCCTGAGTCTCCACGCCCTATTCTCTGCCCTTCATCCAGAAAGCTGTTGACAGCCAGAGGCCCCAAAGCCAAGAAGGGCAGGCTAAGCTCACCATCCCTGATCTGCACAGTTCCTCCCACCACCAGTGACCTCCTTGCTGCCTCTCTGGCCATGTACAACCACTGAACTATCACACAATGGACATATTATGTGTCCTAAGCCTTGGGGTGAAGCGACACCATTCAACAGGAGATGATTTCTAAATATTCCCAGGAGAGAAGAGTACCCTGGTAAAGCCATGCCAACAGGTACTTGAATGACCCACAGAAGGCTGGATCTCTGAGAATTTGCTTTACTCCCCACTCCCTGAAAATATTATGGTCAAAGCACAGAGCATCCCTTTCTTCCCCTCTGTCACCCTCAGTCCCAGTGACCCTGCCTGTTTCCATGCAAATGGCTACAAGAGCCAAATCCCATTGGATGCAATGAGAGACACAGGGAGAAGGGAGCACTTATGTGCAAATAAATGAAGTGAGGGGGACAGTCAATGCTTTTGAGCCCAACTCACCTTGATAGTACTTGGGGTAGCAGCAGATGACACATAGGATATAGCAGTATATGTCACATAGTTGGTGCTGTTGAGTGAGTGGTCTGAAATATTTCCAGGTGATGTGTTGGGCACCACGGTTGGCTCTGAAGTGGAAAAGGTGACTGAGGAGGTGGGCACTGTGATGCCTAGAGAGGTTTGTGACAGCGTAGATGTGTTTGTGGTTCCAGGGCTTGTGGGGACCCCAGAGGTAGATGTCAAGTTGACTGAGGTTTCTGTAACAGATCAAAATAACAGATGTGCATGTATGCAAATACATAATACCCACTCTATCTATTTATCTATCAAATCTATCTTCTATCTCAGCTCATGACATATGCTTGGATTTTGACACTGAAGAGCTTAGGGAAGTAACTATGGCATCATGTCCAAGCCATGACCAAACTTATTTCAAGTCAACTATAAACCATAGAACAATCTAGAATGTATTAGACATGCTCCCTGGATTCTGAAACTGAACCAGATGCTGGTCCACCCTAAACAGCAACCAAAGACTCCTAATAAGAACCTGTATCCAGCATCTTTCATAGAGATCAGAGATCTCTCCAGAGCCCTCATCTGATCTTCACATAGCCATCAGGCTGATTTCAGAGAAAAGAAGGGGCACTAGGAACACCAACTGCCAAGGCATCAGCCTGAGAAAGCACTGTAGGAAAAATCGTCCAGAACCTACTTCAAGTTGCCCAAAGCATCATGCTCAAACCATTGAAACAGCAGGAATAGTCTGCAAGCATCTGAGATGCAGCACCTCCCTGGGTCCTCGATAATCACCCTCTTTACCTGAGATGATTGCTGTGGTCTCACTGACATCCTGAGCGATAGGGGTGGTGGGGCTGGCACTTCCAGGGATACTTGGCCCGCTGGTTTCCTCGATGGATACATTCGAAGGAACCGTTGAAAATATTTTCAGGGAAGATGACTCCACTGTAGCATTAGTCAAGTTGTCCTCACTCGTGACCACAGAGGCTAAGGGAAAATAAGGAAGAAAATGTAGATCCTGAACTTCCCTGAATAGAGCCTCGTGACATGTCCTGGCTCAACTTCTTGACTTAGGCAGGCCCCATCAGGAACATCCCCTGCTGCCCTGGCAAGGCAGCAGCAACAGGAAGAGCCATCGGAATAGTGGACGAATTCCCAGCTACTAGGTGTATCCTTAAGAAAAAGAGGGAAGGAGAAATGTGCATACAACCAGGTGCCCACAACGGCATCAATTACAGGAGGGAAAAGTTGAAACCAATCAAATGAATGAAGTAGGATACATGGTGTATGCACTTACTACAACATAGTCATTATATATAAATCACAGACATGGTCATAACAAATAAAAATGTATGAAAACTATAGCAACAGGGAAACGTGAGACTTTAGTAAAATATTCAAACATACAATTGTATCTGTTTAAATATGCCAGTGATCTAAAGTGTGAGGAAAGATGCCTCCACTCCTACCAAGGCATCCTTCCCTTTTTGGTCACTCTCTATGCAATATACAAACTCTGGGAACAATAACAAGGCTCCAATCATTTCTATGCAATCCCTCTAAAATTCTTCTTTCCTCCTCAAACATTCATTCCGAAGTCCTCTCCTCCTTTCCCTCAGGATTTTCCAACCATTCTCCTTTCCTTTTGTTGAAGAACTTGGCTACACTGAGCATCCCTAAATTTCTCTTCAGAAGCTCTGATCTGGGAATCCAGCAGATGGACCACAGAATATAAGATCTGCCTGCTCATCAGGTGTAGAAAGAATATGGAGAGCTTCAGGCTAGCTCTATCCACCACTGCCTAGGGTGTGTGTGAGAGAGATCTCTCTCTCTCTCTCTCCCTTTCTCTCTCTCTCCCAGAACTTTTCTATCTACCTTACATGCATTACTGGGACAATCAGTGAGATAACAAATACTTGCAAGCTGTTATGGTATAATGCTCCCTTTTCCCCCCCACATTCTGGGGCACCTAGTGGAACCATCCTTAGACACAGCCAGCAGGGAGAGGCTGGTGGCTGTAATCTGAGGCCTAGAGGGCCCACACCCTGTCCTACTTCTAGCAGGACAACCCAGAATGTGCCCTCTTCCAGGTCATACAGTGGGGGACTGAGAGTTCTAGAAATTCCTGCCCAAATCGCTCCTTGTTGACACGCAGGATCTGTGCAGGCCTTGTGTCCCAGTCCATCCTTCCGGGTGTGAACCACCAAAACCTGGTGGTGGCCAAGGGGCTACCCACCAGAGGAAGAATGAGAGCTTACATCTGTGAGTGGGAAGCCCCAAGCACGCATTAAAGATTCCAACAGAGAGAGGCTGTGAACTGGGACCAGGAACCATCCCTTCCTGCTCAACCCACTGAATTCCAGGATTCAAACCTTGCCTTCCAGGTGGCTATGAAGGTGCATTTGTCAAAGTGAGAAGACAAAGGACATTGTTTTTAAGTTAGCTGGCCTCGTTCACAACTTTCAAGAATTGAGATGCAGACTGTGAACTTATATTCTGTTACATTCTGGCCTTGGGGCCCTGTAAATGGTAGGGATGGACTTGGCACCTGAGTTCCCACCACAGGGAAAGGCCCCAAAAGGTCCCTGGTCACCTAAAACTTCTCTCTTCCTGAATGACATGTGTGTGTGTGTGTGTGTGTGTGTGTGTGTGTGTGTGTGTGTGTCTGTCAGGGGCTTCTAGGTCACCAGCAAGGTTGAGTGACACCTATTGTTTCCCTCAGCATCCAAAGGGAAGTTAGACTCTTACCCTCAAAGGTAATTAACCTGAAGCCGAGTGCTTTCCCTGAAGATGGTGATGATTTTCTCCCACTTCTGCCTCCTTCCCCAGCCTGGGCCAATTTCACTGATATCACTAGTGACTGCAACAGCTACAAGTGATAGGAGAAGTGCTAATATGCTCTGCATCTTAGGAGTTGAAGAAGTATAACTACCCAGGTGGTGGCCACAGCAAGTGCAGGAGCACATGAGCAAGGACCACTGAGATGCTGGGCTGTGGGTCACTCTTGACATGTGCAGTAAGGTTGGGGAGATGTGATCCGATGGGACTAAACTGCCCAGAATATGGGTGTGTATCTGGAGAGAAAAGATGGGAGCTCCTGTCTAGCACAGAAGGGAGCAGGTTGATCAAAATATAATAGCTGTGGAAGCCAATGTGGCTTCTTCTCCACCTAAGACCCCTTCACCAGTAAGTGTGAAGTCCTGCAGGAAGTAGGTCCCAGGAAGATTCAGACACCGATCTAAAGCATCAGTGTCATCCCCTAAAAGGCACTACACTCCAGACATGCCTAGAACATCTCCTTGGATGCCTGTTTTCCTGCGCACCTCCTCCTTTCTTTGTCCCACCACATCGGTTCCCGGGAATCCCATCTGGTCCAGCCTGGCCCAGCCCTTTTCCCCTCTCCAAATGAAGCCAGGCCTGGCCAAGGTGATGTCATCCTTCTGAACCCCCTCCCTCAAGGGGCCTCCTTCACCCAGACAAACACTCTTGAACTCTTCCAGATGGGAGGAGAGACCTGCTAGTTCTGAGGACGAGGTGCCTGTTCCAGCAGAGTGAAGCAACTCCAAGCACAGGCCAGCAGCTGATCCCCTGGGATTGGCTCCCAGCTGCAGTGGCCTCCTCCCACCCACTCCAGAGCCAAGCCCTGAGGAGGAGGCAATGGGATCTGTCTGCACATGGAAGCAGGACTCCAACCCCAGATAACTGTGAGCGTAGGATGGACAGAGATGCCTGGGAGACACCAGAGGAACAGGACAAAGAGGGACGGATGAAGGGCAAGGCTGGGATATGCAGGAGCTGGAGGAGAACCAGCAGATGCCCAGTCCAGGCACCCCTGAGACAGCACTGGGGCTACCACCAAGGGAGTCACTTGGCTCTATGCTTCTTGGGCTCCATTGTCTAGAATTCACAAGAGACTGGGCCTTGTTAGAAAGACATCACAGTAGTTGAGCTGGATCCAGGGTCTCTTTTTAGTTGTTTCCCTTGCACATTCATGGCTTGCTTTATCCGAGTTTATAAGCCCTAATGATGGGGGAGTAGTATCAGTCCAGCAGCCAGGGAGGCCCTCAGATCCCAAGAGACAATGAAGACACCTGTACCCTGCTCCATTCTAGATAGAAAGCAGAGCATCCCCCAGAACCTGGCGGAGCACTGTTGTACAATGCAAAGTCCAGTGAAAGCTGATCTTACGTCATTTCCTTCTCAATCCATCCTCATTCCCCACATCTCCTTAAGGACCCTATTGGACCCACCACCCATGAAAGTGAAGCAGGGAGAGGATGCTGAGAAGCCCAGCAGAGTTAGCCCTCTACACCTGCAGGTCCTGTGCCTGCTGATTCTGCTAGCCAGAGAGAAAAACACGTGGTTGAAGGGCAGTGTGGTGTATCAGGTACAGCTACCACCTGTGATGCTGGCACCCCATCATGGGCACCAGTCCAAGTCCCAGCTGCTCTACTTCCATCCAGCTCCCTGCCAATATGCCTGGGAGAGCTGCAAATGTGACTCAGATACTTGAGACCTTGCATTCACACAGGGGACCTAGAAGTTCCTGGCTCCTGGTTCCTGGCTTCAGAACAGTTCAGTTTGTTATTGTGGCCATCTGGGGTATGAACCAGTGGATGAAAGATCTTTCTGTCTCTCCCTCTCCTGTAACTGCCTTTCAAATCTTTAAAAAAGAAAGAAAACACTTGAGGGTAAATTGCATCTATACTGAACTTGGTTTCTTGTCATTATTACTTAGGTATTACATAGAACCATTTGCACAGCCACTTAGACCGTCTTGTGTGCTCTAAGTAACCTAGAGGTAGTTTACAGTATCCACAAGTGGCAGAAATCTGTGCAAGTATGAGGCAAATTCCTGAGCATCCAAGGAGTTTGGCATCTACAGGGGAACCTGGAACCAATTTTCCAAGATGCCAAGGGCCAATTGTAGGTGTCACAAAATGCATGTAATCAAAGTCATCATTGAACCCACAGGTACTCAGAGACTATTAATCTCGTGTTACACATGATTCTAATGATCTGATTAGCCAAGCAAAGCCAAACATTGAGAAGAGACTATCAGAAGCAAATAACAAGGAGAAGCAGCCCCCTAAAAATCAACAACAGACATTAAGTACCTAAACCCACACGGTCTGGAGCTGTGGGTGTGATGGGAGTAAAAAGATAAATGCACCTCTGAGGTTCACAATGCACCCAAGACATGAAGGTTAAAATCTTTCACCTGAAAATATTTCTGCCTGCAACTAGCAAATTCAGACTCTTTCTGTCTTTAAAGGGGTCTTGGAATTCTCCTCGGGAATGTCCTAGCCTCTGTTCTGTAAATAATTAAATCCCCCTACTTTCAAAGATGGAGATCCTTTGCTCAGTCTTGATCTCAGAGATCCCACAAAGTGTTGGTTTTTTAGGGTTGTTGTTTCCTGACACCTCTGGCCAGCCAGTCCCACTGGGCCCATCCTTTCCTATTCCAGCAGCAGCAGCCACGAGAGGAGCGTCTTGGGTGCCTCAGTCCAAAGAAGCATGGCACTGGAAGTGGTAGGAAGCTAATGAAGTCGGGGGACTGGGGGAGTGGTGTTCAGCCCACTCAGAATAAGGACAGTGCTGTCCACAAAGGAGTCTGTGGTGGCTCCACAGCTGGAGAGGCCAGTACCCTGTGGTGCTCCGCCCTAAGCCAGCAGCCAGAGCTGGGGAAGTTACTCCAGGGCGCTGAGCTTTCCTGTCAAGTGGGGATCAAAGCAACCCTACTCCAGGCTGTGGCCAGGGACAAAGGAGATAAGAAGTGGGACTTAGCCTGTCTGGTGCGAGCTCAAGATCCAGTGGCTATCTTCCCCTGGGCCCCTTCCTCTAGCTTCTCTAAGAGCCCGTTATCTCTGAACCCCATCTGGCACAAAATCACAAAGGCTGCTTCCTTGGGACAGGTCTAACTGCCACTGCAGGCAGCACAGTCTCGGTGCTGGGACCATTCTTGCACCCGTGCTTTATTCACAGAGCAGTGTGTGGAGTTCAGGAGGCGCAGGGGCACTGAAGGGTGACCAGCATGGGGCACGCACACACCTCTAGACAGCAGATTGCTTCCTGTGCTGCCTTAAGAGGTCTGAGTTACAGTCCAGTGAGTCAGCCATGACTTCTACATTTGATTTTGTAAAATTTATTTCGTTTGAAAAGCAGAGTTACAAAGAGGAGGTGAGAGTGAGTGAGTGAGAAAGAGAGAGAAAGAGAGCACCTCCATCTGCTTCTCCACACCACAAAGGGCTGCAATGGCCAGAGCTGAGCCAATTTGCAGCCTGGAGCCAGGAGCTTTTTTTTTGGTCTCCAATGTGGGTCCAAGGTTCCAAGGACTTAGGCATCTTCCACTGCTTTCCCAGGCCATAAGCAAGGAGCTGGATGGGAACTGGAGCAGCCAGGACACAAATCAACACCTGTATGGGATGCCAGCATTGCAGGCAGAGGTTTAGCCTACCAAGTCATGGTGCCAGCCCCAAAGGGTTTGCATTTTTAAAGTATCTTAAGAAAGACAGGCTTAAAATACCACCTGGGCCTCCTGTAGCTCTTATCAGAATGTCTGGGTTCCAGTCCAGGTTCTACTTCTCATTCCAACTTCCTGCTAATATGCTCCTTGGGAGCCAGCAGGTGACAGCTCAAGTGGGTGGGTCCCTGACACCTATGTTGAAGACCTAGATCAAGTTCCAGGCTCCTGGCTTCAGCCTTGCTGAGTCCCAACTATTGCAAGGTATGTGGGGAATCAACCAGAGGATGACAGACTTCCCTGCCTCTATGTGTTTCTTGCTTTCTCTCTGCTTTTTGTCCTTCGTATAAAAGAGAGGGACCTGCACGATGGCTCACTAGAATCAAGCACTATTATCCCACACTGGTTTGTGTGGTGGGATTGCTGGAAAGGCAGTTAGGGTTTGCAGCGGAGAAACAAGTTAAACTTGTGGCTATCCAAAGAGCAGGACAGAAAATCCAGGACTAGCGCTTACAGGAAGGCCCATCTCTCTGCAATATAAAGAGAAAGCAGCTGCTTTAAAAACTGCAATGAGCTATTCAGGCAAACAATGAGCTTGGTGCTTCCTGCAAGCACACAGGGGACATCCTGGCAAAGGCCCCTGCCAAGAAGGGGGCGCCCCAGAGTTGCAGCCACTTTGGGCTACAACAAAAGACGGGGCTGCTGCCTCCTGCGCTTCACACTGTCACCACCAACCTGAGCAGTCTCAGGAGGCTGAGTTTGCCAGCATTATATTCAAATATCTCTCATCTTGACTCCACCCACTCATCAGGAAGACCCCAAGACCCTGATGATTCTCAGGGAGGGGAACTTGGGACCTAGCTACCTCCTTCTCTGCACTTAAATCTACCATCTAACAGGTTGCCCACTACCCATTCCTTTAGTCTCTCCCCACCCTCCCAAAAATAACACCCTTAACCTAATGTGTATAGCTATACTATAGACCTAACACTATAGGTCTATGAATGCCTGGCCTAAGATTAGAGGCACCCTAGAAGCAATGGCATTGCCTGTGTAACAGCAGATACAAACTAATAATCAGCTATGCCTGGGACTTCCCCTTTTCTCCCCTAACCCTGTTTCAACCCCACCCAAGACCCTGCCTATTGTCACCTGGCTCAATCAGACCTTGCACACTCAGTCTATCCAGGGTTTAAGATGCTCCTGCAAGGATCCATGAAGACATTTCCTTAAACATCTCTTGGGATTCGCTACCCAGAGATGTGCTTCTGCTAAAACATGGATGGGTTATTAGTGTATTTTGTTTCTCAGGACCAGGAAGATGCAGACTCCCAAAGTACAAAGGCCTTTCCTGGGCCAGGGCAGGGAGGGGACTGCTGTCTGGTGAGCTCCAGGAGGAGGTCCTGGGCAGTGCACCTGACCAGCATCCTGTCTTCATCTCCACCCTCCCCAGCGGCACACCTCTCTCTCCTTTGCACAAAGCCAGTGGCCTTAGGACCAAGACTTGTAGATAACGTGTTTTCATTTCTGAGTCAAGGAGGGAAGACAATGTTCTCACTGGATCAGTCCAAGCCCAGCAAAACACAAATTACTGGGTCCTGGCAACTGAGACGCCCCCTGCCGAGGGTGGAGTTGGTGCCTTGGCCATACCTTCCTGCCTCTGGTTCCCCAGGCTGCAAGCCCTTTAGTGAGATTAGCCCCAGTCAAGTAGAGCCCAGAGGGGTGGAGTCCAGACCCTCTAGCCAGGGGCCAGATCAGGCAGGGAGAGCCCAACAGGCACAACTCCGGCTCTCTTTTTGTGTTTATAGGACTCAGTGCCTGGGTTTATCTGCAGCAGTCTGGCACTGTTGGCCCCCAACTTTGGAGACAAAGCCTCAGGGAAGGCAAAGAAAACGGAGGGGAGGACAGGCTCCGAGAAGGTTCAGCTAGAAGAGGCCCAGGTCCAAACAGGAATGTGTGTTGCAGGGACCGTGCCAGCTGGGGTGGCCCTCCAAGGGCTTAGCAGGGAGCAGAGGGGATCACTGACTTGAGCAGAGGGGATCACTGACTTAGTCAGAGGTCCCCAGGGCTGCTGCTTCTTGGTCGCCATGTGGCAGAGACTCAAAGGGCGGAGTCCTCTCCCCTCTGGAAAATATCTGATAAAATTCTTTCCCCTTTTCTTTTTCCCCTCTTACGCGTAGCCACAGACAGGATATGGGTGTGAGGTCAGCAGGCTCGCAGGACCCAAAGGAAGAGAAGGAATGTGACTGGGCAGGAGGGGGACTTGTTATTAAGGCAAGGGGAGGGACAGGCCAGGGAGGGGGGAGCTGTGGAGGAGACACACCCTGAACTCCACCAGGAAAGGGGTTCCCCAATGACCTGAAAGGTTGCCCATCCCAAATGGTGGTATGCCAGCCAGGTCTGTGGTATGCCACCCCCCGATCTGTGTCCAGCCTTTGAACAATGATCTCTGCCAAGCTCAGCTAGGACAACCTGAGCTCCTGTCCAACCCAGCATCTCACAGGGAGTAAAAAAACACCCACCTTCCCAAAGTACATCTGTGAAAATACGACAAATATGGGGCCTCACCCCTAGCTGTCCTATACTGCCTGGTGATCAGCACACAGCATTCCACCAAGGGCCCCACTGATAGCATTTCAGGGGAGAATGCTTGCATTGAATCCCACAACATATCCTGGCACAAAAAATGATTCCTGAGGTGCCATAAACACAAACAACTTAGACACCCTGCACACCATGGTAGAAAGCAGAAAGCTATAAGGAGCCCGTGGAGTCCAACAAGGCTGAGGTGGGGACTCATGTTCCACCTTCACCCCCAGAGCCCAAACACTGGAGGCATTTTCTGCACCAGGTTTTGTTACAGCTTGCCTTGGTCCCCTCTCTGTACAGCTGCAGGCCAGCACAGGGTCATTACTGATGGTATAGCCAGGCACCAGATACGAACTACAAGCCCCTGGCCAACATGCCCTGTAGTAGCCCCAGTTCTGGAGCTTCCCAAACTCAACAACAGCATTCCCTTGCCCTGCAGGCAGAGCCAGAGCTGTCGGACAGGTCAACCAAGAACTGAACACCGCTTCCTCCAGCGCGGGAGCCAGTTCTCTCCAACAGGGTGGACCCAAGGAGGGGTCAGCGGGAGGAGACCGAGAGGCCTTCTGGGCGGGTCCCAGTCACCCTGCGAGGCCATGGTGGGTGGCCAACTCTACACTGGGAATTGGGAGCACTGGAGGGTGGAAAGCAAAATCTTGAGCAACAGTAAAACCTTCTGAGTGCAAGGCCGGTGGGGGTGGGGGGAACCAACACCACCAAGAAAAGGAATTAAGTGTAAATGCAGAGTGAAGTGCAAAGACCGCTGATTGCGGATTGCGTCTGCAGAACGTGAGCTAGAGCTTAAGAAGTATGGAGGTGTGCGATGGAGGTGTGCGATGGAGCGGGCACTGCCCAGGCCTGTCCACCAGTCTGAGAGCTTGAAGTGGGCAAGGTGGGTGGGTGGGGCGAACTTTTGCAGTGAGCAGAGCAAGGCCGGGCAGCGGCCAGCATCGGAATCTAAACTCCTCCTTAGAGAGACCCAGGCCCGGCTTGGATGGGGAAATTCTCTGCGGCCTCAGGGTATTTTGTTTCCATGTTCTCATTCCAAACTCCCAGCTCACCTCACCCGGCCTTCCTCCCCGGCCTCCCGGGCGTGGGACCCAGCGCGTAGCCCGCCCCTGCCTGGTTTGCCTCGTTTGGCCTCACCGCCCACGTGTGGCTGCGGGACCTCAGATGCCCGGACCCTTCCCCACACCTCGCTCCTGCCGCTGTTTTCTAAAGTAAGCCCAGCCCCAAAACTTTCCCGCTCCTATCTCCTAGTACTCCGGCTTAGGTTCCAGCCCTGCGCGCCGCACCTTCTGTACCGCGAAGACACCAGCATCCCCGCCTGCCCTCTACCCCCTCGCAGTACTTTATTTCAGCCATTCCTAGAGAGCCGCGCCAGCGGCCGCCGCACACCTGGGTACCTTCGCGCTCTGGGCGCGGCGCCGGCCCGGCCCTCCCACCCCTACCGATTTCCAGGTGGAGCGCTGCTCCAGCAGCCAACCCTCGTGGGCGGCCCCGGGCTCCCCTCCCTGCCTCCGCCGGAGCCTCGACCCCGCACCGAGCTCCCTCCTCGCTCGGCGCCGCGGAGCCGTGCGGGCCGCGGCTACTCACTTAACAGACTCAGCAGGCAGAGTGCGGTCCAGCCCCGCGGCATCCCGGGCCCCGCGCGCGCGCCCCTGCGGACCAGCATCCTTCCCGCGCCGCTCGCCAGGAGGTTCAGAGTGGAAGACGCGGCTCGGCCGGCGGCCCAGACGCTCTCCTTCCCGCCCCCTGGGCCGGGAGGGGGTGGGGGATGCGTGCCTTTCTCCCCTCCTCCCTCTGTAGTCTTGGCAGGGCCGGCCCCTCTCCTTCAGCTTCCCTGGTTAGTCCCAAAGGCGGAGGACGTTGGGAGGGAGGCCGGGGTTGCCGTCGCCGTCGAGGCCAAAAAAGGTGGAGGTTTGCCGGCCGCAGGCCCGTTTTCAACTTTCTACTAAGACCCAGATTGTGCTTCTCCAAGCTTTGCGTCTACTTAATTTTTAACCCCTTTGAGTCAGCCTTGCCGCGGAGGCCAGGGCACAGGGGCGCATTTCCTCTGAGGGTGAGTTCTTTCCTCATCTTTTTGTTTCTCTTTCTGGTAACCCCTGCAGAGGAATCTCCTGTGAGGAAATTGCCCTTACATGCAATCTCCTGTCAAGTGGGCGCATAGCATAAAACTGGTCAAACCTGCACCTGTCGGCCCTGACGCCTGCATTTGCGATCCCAGCAGGCGCGGTGGGACACACCAACTACCCAGGCATCCATCAGAGCATCCTCCCAGACTTGGCTCGGACTTTTCACTCGGGATTCCATTCGGGTGTGTCCTGGAGGTTTTTCCACTACCCTGCCTACCCTGAGCACCTTGTCACAAAAGACTGCTCCAGGCCTGGTTTGCCGCCTTCCCGCAAATGCGCACTCCTGCCCGGACCTAAGCCGCCAGGGGCTATCCTGTTTATTTAAAAGGTAAACGACTTCCTGTGAGTCCACCTGAGCTACCCTAGAGCCTCCTATGTCTCTGGCTGTGCCCGAGGCTGGTAAACTCCACGACCGGAGGGGAGGAAAGCCTGACGGGGCGGAGGTGGATGCCGGGCAGGACCAAAGGGAAGAAGCTTTGGGAGACTGGGTGAAATTACAAGGCTGTGCACTTGCAGCGCAGCCTCTTCTGGGATGTGTAGGCCACCTAAGTCTGCAGAAAAAAATCAGACCAGCATCCTGGGGGTACTTTCTGATTTACCTCCTGCAGATACTGACATTAGGAAAGTTTGTTTATCTGTGTGGTCCATCTCAGACCTGCGTAAATTTGGATGGGGGCCCCTGCTGTGGCATAAGGGTTAAGACATTGCCTGCAAAAAACAAAAAAAAGCATTTGTGGAATATGTAAAATAGTAAAATAAAGGTTATGTACTGCTACATTAAAAAAAAAAAAAAGATACTGCCTGCACTACTAACATCCCATATGGATGTGGGTTTGAGTGTCAGCTGATCAGTTCCCATCCATCTTCTGCTAACGGCCTGGGAAAGCAGCAGAGGATGGCTCAAGTGCTTGGTCCCTACTCTTACATGCCAGACACACAAGAAACTCTTGGCTCCTAGGTTTATCCTGGCTCAGCCCTATCCACTGCAGCCATTTGGGAAGTGGAGCAGCAAAGCAAAGATTTTCTCTCTTTCTAACTCTGCATTTTGATTTATTTTTATTATTTTTTATTGGAAAGGCAGATATACAGAGAGGAGAGACAGAGAGGAAGATCCGTCCGATGATTCACTCCCCAAGTGAGCGCAACGGCCAATGCTATGCCGATCTGAAGCCAGGAGCCTCTTCCGGGTCTCCCACGCAGGTGCAGGGTCCCAAAGCTTTGGGCTGTGCTCGACTGCTTTCCCCGGGCCACAGGCAGGGAGCTGGATAGGAAGCTGGATAGGAAGGGGGGCTGCCGGGACCAGAACCGGAACCCCTATGGGATCCCGGGCATGCAAGGCAAGGACCTTAACCACTGTGCCACTGCGCCGGGCCCCAAATAAATCTTAAAAAAAGAAAAATTCTAGCGAGCTGCCACAATGGCAGGCGAATCCTCTGCCTGCAGCACCAGGATCCCATGTGGGCACTGGTTCTAGTCTCAACTGTTCCACTCTTGATCCAGCTCCCTGCTTATGGTTTGGAAAAGCAGCCAAGGATGGTCCAAGGCCTTGGCCCCTGTACCCATGCACAAGACCTGGAAGAAGCTCCTGGCTCCCAGCTTCTGACCTGCCCAGCTCTAACCATCATGACTATTTGGGGAGTGAGCCAGCAGATGGAAGCTCACTTTCTGTCTCTCCTTTTTTCTCTGTAACTCTGACTTTTAAATAAACAAGTCTTTCTTAAAAAAATTTTTTTAATGTATGCTTAATTTATACTGGTAAATATATAATTATATACAAACTGGTAAATTTATCATAGCTTTTAATAAAATAAGATTCAAAAAAATGTTTTGGATTGCACCGAAGAAGGGAATTCAATATAAAATCAAAATTAAACTCTTCCTAATGTGACCTTGTTGCCTATGGTTCCTTTAGGTAGGGAACAGAGCCATCCTCACACAATGAAAGCAAAAGTTTAATATGAAACTTTGCACATAGTGGGATAGTATGGATTATTTCTAAGCGCAAATGATGGTTCAGATTTGATCACATGCCATCTCAAGGGCATGTAGCTGGGCATGGACGGAGCTACAAAAAGCATTTTTAATAAGCCACTTCTCCTCAGGACTCTTGCTAGACAGGAAAAAGGAGTTAGCTCCAATGCCACCACCACATCCTCCACTCCCCTGAACTCTCACAATTCCAAACACTAGCTCTGTTTCATGCAGCTTGTGCAAAGTTGTGAACAAAATGAGTTGCCATTCTTTGTTGTGATATGAAAAATAAGGTTGATCTATTTAGTTCCAACTGCATTTCCAGAAGTTTCTTCTGGCTACTTCAGGTGCTGCTTTCTTCCTACAACTAAACCAAAGCCTTGTCTCTAGTTTCTAGACTTTGTAACTAGCTGTGGGAGCACACAGAGAAAAAGAAGGATTTCATGGAGAGGAGTTGTATAGAGCACGGCCCACGGCCCACACAGGATGAGACTCAAAGGTGAGAGCCAACAGTCTGCATTTGTAACCAATTGTGATTCTTGGATAGGCTGGAGTTCAAGAAGACCTGGCAGCCAAGGGAAGGCTTACTGGGTACAATGAAGTGAGGGCAAGGTGACTGTTGGGCCTCCGGGACTGAGGCAGAATAGGAGGAGGGGTACAAGAGGCGATTGCTCCAAGAGACTGGAGCGGATTCTTCTTTGACCTGTTAGGGTGTGCAGAGCACCAACTCCATGTAGCTACATGATGTCTGACCCCAGGGTGCTGAGTCTCAGCACACCACACACACACACACACACACACACACACACACACACACATCTTTAGCCCAACCTCCCACAAACACAGGTCCACCCAGGGACTGCAGCTTCATGTGACTTCCCAGGCCAGAGAGAGTTAAGCTATGGAGTCTTGCAAAAGCTCTAGCCTTTCTGGCCTGGCCCTCACTAGCCTTGCTCCCTACCCCACAGAATTCAGGATGTGCCAGAAACACAAGGACTGAGAGACTCTGCTGGGCCTTTTATATACTTTTGTGATTCATGACCACTATTTAATGCTTTCTACTCTACTGCATCCCAACAAATACACACACACACACACACACACACACCATGTTACTTTAAAAAAATGATTATTTTTATTGGAAAGACAAATTTACAAAAAGGAGAGACACAGAGAAAGATCTTCTATCTGCTGGTTCACTCCCCAAAAGGCTGCAACAGCTGTTGCTAAGCCAATTTGAAGCCAGGAACCAGGAACCTCTTCCAGGTTTTCAACACAGGTACACAGTCCCAAGACTTTGAGCCATTCCATACTGTTTTCCCAGGCCATAATCAAGGGGCTGGATGGGAAGTGGAGCAGCAGGAACATGAATAGATGCTCATATGGAATGCTGGTGCTTGCAGGCTGAGGATTAGCCAATTGAACCAATGAGCTGGCGCCACCATGTCAATATAGATCCTCATGCTCTATTATATATAATGTCTTAAGCATGAAAAAGATAAGGTGAAGGTCTCAGATCATTTTCTGTTGTTATAACAAAATACCTTTAAGTGCTTCATGAAAAATAGAAGTTTACTTGGTTTGTTATGGAGTGCAGCCAGTGATTGCTCCTTCACCTCTCCTTGTATACTCTTCCCCCAAGGTCCTAATTCTGCCGGGTGTTGGATGCAGATGAGTCCAATTAGTCTTTTTAGCTACAAGCCCAGTTCCTGTTCCTGCCCATCCCAATGAGCACCAATTAACTCCTTAACTCACAGCACTTATGTATTTGCTCCTGCCCACCTGTGACTCACCTATCAACTGAGAGGGGATGGTATTGCATTGTTGTGTAACCACGCCCCTCACAAGCCCCTTTAAAAGGCCCGTGAAGTGGGAGGGGGGAGCACTCACGGTCTCTCTTTCTGGTCAGGTGTTGTCTTTACCCTGACACCTCCACTCTTGGCTGACCCAGGACAGGTAATTCCTTGAGCATGGTCCCTGTGTACTGCTTAAATGGGACAATGGATATATTAACATTGTTTCTGGTTTGTGTACTATCAGGAGTTCCAGGAGAGGTGAGGCCTAGCAGTAGTGGGATGTGGGCAGAGAAGTCAAGGAAAGGTAAATATCTGCAGCTTTTTAAGTGTGTCCAGGTTATCCGTTGCATGTCTCTTAGGAGAATTTGTATTGTTGGGGAAGCTGGGACATAGGCCGTCAGCTTAACGGATGGACTTAAGGGTAATGACCATTTGTTCCCCTTTGGATTATGTTTGGCTGGATTATGATTGGTTGGATTGCCATATGGACTTGTGATCTGCTATTTCTAGTATGATTTATTATCGGCAAGTTTGGTTAATAAAGACTCCTTAATAAAACCTTACACATGTCTGGTGTGATCTTGCTCGCACCCTGTAGCAGGCTTATGATTCTGGAAGTTGAAATTTCAAGAACATGATTGTAACACCTGCCGAGCAACTGGGAGGGCCTGCTCACTGTGTCGTACTGTAAGGACACACTCTAAGGACAGAGGGCACGATGTCGCAAGACACAAGCCAGGCAGGAGCCAGCACTGTGGCATAAGCAAGTAAAG